GATCTTAAAGAGGGTGTTTGGCTGCCTTGCAAACTCTCCAACGATAATCTCCGTCCCGTCAGCATTGCTTCTTCTTGCAGGGCAAACGCGCGAAACGCTTCTAAGAGGATTGTCACAGAAGTAGACGCAAATAATGTCTGGACGCATTGCAGTTGACGATTACACTTGTCTCTCTAACATATTAACATGAATCTGGTGAACGTTTAACATCATTTAATTTGCGTAAACTTCCACAATGTGATTCAATATGTTTAGAATCAAATTGACGGAAGAATAATAACTTTATATAAAAAAAATAATTAAACGCGCGTTCTTCTTGCTTTGAAATTTAATAATCTGAATAAGCTTTAGAAATCGTATATATAATAACACGAATCTTGAAAAGATAGAAGGGAAACATTATTTCTGTAACAATCGCATTTCTAAAAAGTTATGAAACTGAAGTTGCAAGGATTTAATTAGACTTCTTATGCAGTCACTATAAATATCACGTATACGCAGCACGCGGGATTTTAATAGCATTATACCAGCAGGGAGTACGAAATGTAGGTAGAGGAGAAATGGAGATGAAAGCGAATGGAGAGTGCGCTCGTAGCCCGATCGCAAAAACTTTAATCGGTTTACTGGACTACCCAGGCGGACCGATGCGAGATAATTGAAATCCACGTGGAAAGCTAGGAGACCCTCCGGAGATTGCCATTAATTAGAGCTATAGATCACTCGGCGTGCTTTGTGACAACCGGCCAGTTCCTGAACCCTCTCTACGGCGACCCGCTCCCTGATTTGTCTTGGTAGTACGCCGTTTGCTCGAGCAGTACCCGCGGTAACATTACTGTAGTTACGTGCGTTAGCAACACGAACCGATAGCATATCTGCAATTATATAACATACGCGCGGTATGATTTGGTGCTATATAAGGTATCTCTAGCCATCGTAAAGCCACCGTTGTGATAAATTAAGCAATTGCAATACTGCACCGTCGCTTAATGTGCAATTTAGTTTGAAAAATCTATACTTTTTTAAATAATTATTTTTATTTTTATACACACACACACACAAAAATATCTTTTTAACGAAATAATTATAATATAACATAATAAGACAATAATAAGTACAAGTATTAAGAACTAACGTATTAATTAGTCATAATAAAATTTTTACTAAAATTTCGCAAAAAGTAAGAACAAAAATTATTTATTTCAGATTAAATTAACAATTCAAACTATTTTGGATTAATTATTCTTTCACGGTACGGATAAAATGGTTTGACTGACGTCGTTGAAATATAAATCTCAACAGTTCTTTGCAAAAATTGCTGCAATGGAATAGCACAACGCTTGGTCACGATGTATTCGTTATTACTATCCACTTTACCAGAGGTTACAACGTCACGCGCGCGTAAGAGCTCGATATCGTACATCTTCCTTCGAGCGACACGGATGTATGCCGCGTATTACTACCGCAAGCGACATGGTACGGACAGGAAACCACATTGCGCCACGCCAGCGAGACGTTTCTACTGATCTTCCTATTCATGAATCACGGTTGAATTGTATCCTTTCTCGCGTTTCTCGGGGCGAACTAATAACGCTTTCGACTCGTTGCACAAACAAAGACGCGTCAGGAATGTGGTAGGATGAAATGGGAAACCCTCAATCGTGCAAAGCTTTTACTAAAATAACCTTAATAATTTCATTCACACGTAATCATATATCTCGATATACCAGCACAAGACATTAATGACCAATTTATTATTTTATTTTTCTCAAATTTTTTCTTCTTTAAACATTTTACATTGCATATTTCGGATGCAGCCTTATATAGCAATTTTTATATACGTAAATTGTAAAATACTTTGTACGTATAATGAGAATAATTTAATATTTTGAAAATAATTTTTTTTATTGCATGAAATTAAATTTGGTAGAAAACAAGGATAATTAATTATTTGATGCACGATTTAATACAGCACACGTTAAAAGCGCAATATTCTTGATAACATCATCATTTATCGTTCTGATAAATTTATGAGCTAACGTAGCACAAACCGATGGCGATAAAGCTAAATTTAGATACTACAAAGTCGATTTAATAGAGAGGCACTCGGCCAGACGATCGTACATGTGTTCGTAACAGAATTAGCGGCTCGAATAGCTCGGATTCAATAAAATCTTGTTATCAGAAAGCTCTTTCTCTCTCCCTCGGGAAGCTATCATAGATACCTATTCTATTTCGTGCCTGCCTGCTCGTTCTCGGTACAATTACTGTCCAATCGTTGTTCTCGCGAGAACGAGACAACGTTACATGCATTTTTATTAACTGCTTCGACACGGGCCTCGTGCAGAGCGAGAGAGGCTTTCGCAAAGGTAAAGGATTGTCAAACGAGCTCATAAAAAAGCTACGTCGGCGCCGTTACTGACTAGCTGGCTATTGCATTATACAATATAGCCGTCGATATAGCTGCAGCGCCACTGAAGCGATGCACTCGATCTGCTGCCGAAGAAAAAGAAGAAACTCGCTGTCTCGAGCCCGCGTTGTGCTGCAGGAAAAGCTGTTTTTTTCATTAAAGTGCGGACGCGATCTTTTTCGAAGATGCAAAAGACCGACTCGGGAATCCTTTGGCCGATGATGGTGCAAGCCCGCCGTTAAAATTGCACCAGGAAGGCGCGATAGGGACGCAACGACTAGAGCGGCGAGTAAAGTGATCCGGGTGGTTGCACTGGCGGGAGATACCGGCGGGCGGATGTTGACCGAGAGGGAGAGAGACAGGAAGAGAAAGAGAGAGAAGAGGGCAGGAAGTTGCATCGACCCGATGCGAAATGCCGTGTTAATGTGATTCACGCCGGCTACCGGTTACGCCAGGCACAAAAGAAGTCGCCCCCGTCGCCGACGCATTCGTTTCGAGAAAATTGTACGGTGTACTCCGCTTTGTCCGGCTGTCCGGCCGCATGCCCTATTGCGCCTTCTGAATTGCGGGTGCGAAATAAAAGTTTGCAGCGGTTATTGCTTTTTACGAGATGCGTCCGCGCGCGATACGTGTAACCGGCCGCCGTCGCCTGCGCCTTTAACACATCAATAGCCCCATTCGCGCTGCAACGAAGCTCCGAACCTCTTCCCCCCCCCCCCCCCCCTCCTCTCATCGCGAACCGCTCGAATTGCTCAATTTGCCTTCCGTTCGCGCGCGTAATCCTTCTTGCTTTGTACTCGCAATAATTCCAGCGAAATAACAATGCGACGGCGAAACCGCGCGACAAGTGCAGTAACAATGATATAATAATGATAACGCTGCCGTTATATCGCGTAACGCTCTATTGGACTACTTTCAATAAAATGTTATCACACATTAATTATAATGAAACCATATAAATTATCAATTATAATTTATTGTGCAAGGGATCATGACACCGTATATTGTATCAGCGAATATAATAGATGAAACCAGGTCTTTGTCATATATCACAGAGGCAGATCTTCACCCGACTTTCCATTTAGCATACCGCTACTACATAAATCTAAACTTATACGGCTGAATGGATCGGCGGCTATTCAGAGAAAATGTCGGCGGCGCACTGCTCCGCGACGGTGAAACAGCTGCCTCGTATACCTGCGAAATAAGTAATGTCGACTAAATTGCACATATATCCAAAGTAAAGTGCGATCGGCAATCTGATTTATAACGGGTCATATATGCAACAAACGTCTAGGCGTTTTAAATGCAAAATGTTGCTGTCGAGACGTACGTTATTTGAATCTTTTATTTGAAATGTAGATATTTTGATTTATTCATTAGATAAAAGCTATTTTCAATAACTGGGTTAATTTAATATTACACTCAACATATCTTTTTGAATATCAGACTTAAATGGCGCTGTAAAAAATATTATTTATATAATATATAATAATTATTATATTACACGCTCTGACAAAGTAACAATAAGATTTAATTTCCGTAAAAAATAAATGCCACACGAATATTACATAATCATAATATTTTATATTGTTTAAAAGTCTGTAAATTGTACTCCAGATTAACCGTATCATTTATCAATAGCAAATTCTTGAAACCATTTGAAGACAAAAATATATCTATCAAAATGTCGAAGCTGTTAGTTTTTAAATGGAAAGTTTTAAATTGAAACTCGTTAAAATTCGACAAATTGCACAGACGTATTGATTTTTCTATTGTTATTGTATGACATAAATCTGCTATTAACAGGCGATATGATTATTCTGAAACATCTTGTGTATTTTACATTGTTTGAAATCTATTGTCTTTATGATGGAAAGAAAACATATTGGAAAACAATTTCAGAAATAATTATTACGCACATTAAACTTTTACTCATCTTTTATGCAAATATCTAATGAAAGAATTATATATTTATATCTAATTATCATAAATATTAAAAATTGCAAATCTTTCACTGAATAAGTACTTCAAAGTTTCTATGTGCGTTACATTACGTAATATTTTATGTGCAATATTTTGCAAATAATAGATAAGAAATAAATGATTACTTAGCCTAAAGTTGCTCCGCCGGCGCTCGATGTCCTTTCTAAACCTCTCCTTCTGTTAGTCGTTTTGCAATTTTTCAAAGCACTCATACGCGTTTGCGATGCGAATACAAAAATTGCACGATATTTTAAACGGCACTCCCGACGCACTTTGTCGGACAAAGTAAAACTCGAATATCATCGCACGGATTACATAGTTCGGTACTGCCGTGTAAGTAACGATGGAAAGGATGAGATCGAAAACTACGGGAAATAATAAGGATAGTACTATCGAAGAAGGGATAACGCGTCGAAACGGAACGATCTGTCCCGTGCGAGATGCTGCGCATGATAAATATATGAAGGACAAAGTCGAGCGGAAATCAGAATCGAAATCAACGCAAATTTGTCGTATTTATTGCACCTTTATTGTATATACGTAATAATTATTTTTTGAATGATTATTTTAAACGCTGCTATAATGTGAATACATTTTTATGTTACAGATCAACTTATAAACAACTCTGCTACTGCGCATCGTGTCGGTAAGTCAATCCAGTTTATTTTATTTTAATGTCAGTAATAGAATAGACTGAAATATAATGTATAAGGTATTCTTAGACTAACCCGTTAATAGCAAATTTCTAAGGTTTTTCACATGGTAAAAATCAATATGTGACGTGCTTGAGCGCGTGAATTTTTAATAATCCGACTGGTCAACTTTAAATATTTTCAATCTAAAGACTATTGTAGTCACAACATGTTGATGTAAAGATATTCGTCTCCAAATATTCATCTTAAAAATCTACTATTAACGGGTGATACGGTTAATCTGAGACACACTGTATAATATATAGATCAAAAAGTTAATATACATATACATGTAATATTTTATATGATTTGTAAGATTAAATTTTGATCTTGAGGAATTTCAATGATGCGACGAAATTAATCAAAATTAGTTCAGTCTATAACTTGATATATTACGAAGGTATCAGAACCGAAGTTGGAGTCATTTTCGAATGTAAACGAAGCACAAAGAGTCTCATTAAAGATTGCTTCCGGCGTGCGGCGACGCTATTCTTCGCCGCCACGCGAATGAAAAATAATCTCACATATCCGAGTGCAATTTCTCTGCCAGAGCCGTCCCCACCGTGAATTTTTATGAAAAGTCGAGCAATTCTTACTGCCCGTAATTATATCCGTCTCTCATCTTTGTATGGAAAACCAACTCACCGTAATTAAAGGTTTTCTAGATTTAATTAATGGCGCCTTCTCTGCCCGCCTCGTTGACGCCCGGTAAAACGATTTGATATGATAGAAAAAGAGCGATGACGCTTTTGCAATACATATCATGGATGACGGCATAATTTCCAGTCGGTGGGACGAGCGTCGTTAATATCCTTTCGATTCGCGAAACAATTCCTATACGGGACGCCGGATAACGTGGATACTCGAGGGAGGAACGCGAAAGCAGTAATCATCCCCTATCCTGTAAACGTCCTTGCATTCGACAGGCGTCTGCTAATCCGCGGGTCCGGGATCAAATTGGAATTGGCCGTAGTTTAATTTAAAACTGTTTCCTCCCCCTCACACACACAACACACGTACGCGCACGTGTGTGCTCATGCGATCAGGACCGTCGCAAGTTGTTGAATGCGAGAGTGATTTCAGCGAAACGCAAGAATCATGTTTTTGCATCGAGGATTATTTTTATAAGATTAAAATTTTACTCAGAATCAATGTTTCTCAATTGATACTGATGCGAATTGTTAAATTTTATCTCTTAAACATGAGAATTTGTTAATAATTAATTTTTAATTTTTGTAATCTTGAATTGTTTTTTGGAAATTGTAATTTGATATAATATTACTTTTAATTTAAGGGCCAAGGTCCTATTTTAAAATCTTAAAAAAATAATTAACAAGCGAATCGATAAAGAATATATTTCGCTTATTACGCGTGCAGCGTATACACAACGTCGAAATTCGTTATATACACCGTCGCGAGAAGTAATATTCATCAATATTCTCATTAATAATTTACTCATTTTTCTGGGGCATGGCGAAGTGTAAAATAACGACAGGTCTGAGCGCGTGTAGAGAACCTTTGCACACATATACGCGGGGACGATACACAGGAATACTTTTTTTTTCGGCTCGCAGCGGAGCGGCAATAGTAGACGGCGACGCTACCGTCGAGAAATTGAATCGTTCGGATGGAAATTCACAGCTGCACACATGGCCACTCATGACATATGTATATGCAATACGTACATCTGACACATTCGCGGGTCCATATATTGTTTTCTATATACTGAATTCGGCACATATGAAATTTGATGTGTACTGCATTAGTTTCGAAGATTTCTATCTTCTTGTGTCAGAATATCGATGCACCAGTTATTTCTGCAACTTATGATTCCTGTCGGAATATTTACTCATGATTTACGTCGAAAATCTCCATCGAGTAACATGTTTACTGCGAAGAAGACACAGAAAGAGCATTGACATTTTGAAAGTAACAGCGGAATATCAATTTCTGACATTTTTTATAGCGTTTTTTTTTAGTCCGAAATAAAACTATAATTAGAGAACCTACGTTATATAAAACTTATTGTTCTCTAGTCCATATTTTGTATTTCAAAATACTTTTTGTTTGTAGTTTACAGTACGGGAGTGTTTTAATCCTCGCGGGCAGGCAGTTTTGTAATTTAAAACAGGAATTGATTCAGGCTATCATACCCTGGAGTGTCAGAAACTCAATGTGTTTTTTTAACTGCCCTCGAGGCTCCTACAGTTATCCTCATGCAAAATACTATTTTCACACGACGTATGTATATACGTACCGTAAAATATCAAGTAACACACATTTCTAAAATACGCACGTACCAAATAAACGTGACGTATATCAAGTCGCCGTTGCATCGTAAACGCGTCACGTTTCGTTACACCCGAGTTTAGCCTACGTTTGCGTAAAATTTTTCCGTCACATTCTGCCGCATTTTACTGCGCCGGAATTTTCAAATTTGTCTCGGTGTGACAACGTTGCCAGTCTACCCAATATTACACACATTCTACTTATAAACTCATTCATCACTATAATCTCGTCTGCGTCACTTTGCACTAGTGCAAATTATTATGTATACCACATGCAGATTTTTTTTTTATTATACATACAAAGATAGTTTGAAATTTCATTTTTACAAACTATGCAAATTTACTAGATTTGCAAATTTAGTGAATTTTACAATGTGTGGTTCTTTATTTAGTTAAAATATGTGCGTTAGAATTACAGATTTGTGTATAGTACAATTTTTCTATACATAAAATTATTAAAGTAATGTAATTGAGTCATTGTATTGGATACTTCTATTATATTTTACACGTAGAATATGCGATTGTGAAATTTTGATATTCCATATAAAGTTAATTCTATGAAAATAATTCAATTTTGATTGTGTGACAGATTATTTACAAAAGATTGGAAACTTCGTAGAATCTGCATTTCTTTTTATCATCAATAGTATTATCAATAGTATAATTTCATTGTACTCACTTTATTTTCAAACTTTAATTAAACTTTTTTTTTATTTTTTATACATAAGAAAAATTGATATCTCAAGCGAACTCAATGGCAATTAATTTCTTTCTTTAGTTGCTCTTATAAAATCTCTTTTACGTAACTTTAAAGTTATGTAATATACATTATTTAATAGAAATAGAAAGTTTACGATGAAGATAATTTGAAACTTTTATATATTTTAATAATTAATTCTTTTGTATTATAATAACAATTTATAATATCTAATTAAGAAAGATAAAGGGATAAACTATTCTAAACAATTTTCACATTTCCTAAGGAAATTGCAAGAAGTTGAGAGTGCTTGAAGTGAAACCGCAGTTAAACCATTAACACGGAAAATTATTATAGCACGCGTAAAGCACCGTCGTACTCGGTTATTAATCAAAGCGTTTAGCATTATATATAATATCGTAAACGTAGACATTTTATCCGAAAGTTTCTAACGTTTGCAGACTGTTTTACGGCAGTTCGGATGGAGTTCGCTTTTCGGGAGTATTAAAATTGTCACATAAACGTATGCATTAGGCGCGGCATATATGTTGCGCGTACGTGCTTATATGCGTGCGGTGCGCGCACGTGCTTATATGCGTGCGGTGCGCGCGCGAGGATACAATGTGTACATATATCAAAGACGATGGTGGATGCAGAACTCAGTAGAGCAGCCACGTGGTAATGTATCAAGGTCAGTAATTTATGGCAGGACGGTTAAGCCCGCGCCCGCCCTCTCTTCGAGGGAAGATCTGAAAGTCAGATCTGAATACTCTTTCTCTCTCCCTCTCTTTTTCGTATATGCACTCTAAGAAACTTACGACATTACAAAAGGATCATCAAACAGCACAGTGAGTTACGATGCTCGTAGCGTTGCCACGAAACATTCGGCCATTTTTGTCGGGGGCGGAATAAGAGGGAGCCCGACTAATTTGTCATCACGATGCATCGCTTTGCAGTGCGCTAACGTAACGTCTCAATTATTCATGGTGATGCCGTTGCACGAAGAGTTACTTAATATAGCGCAATTTTTGCAACATTCAGGTTACTCCACCGATCTATACTCACTCTGCATTCACCACAATGCCGCGGTGCTATTCATTTTATATTGGAATTTAGTCGCAATAAACTGGAGAGTTACGCAATAAAACAACATCGAGACATTGTTAAGCATTTCTTGAGGAAAATTCACCGGTTCTTTAATTGTGAATCATGAAAAATGCAATTGAATTGATGCCTTGTTGAGTATTTACGAATAGGTTGCCTCTCTCTCCGGAACAGTAATTGGATCCATTAATAAGTAAGATGTTCGCGGTGAGATGGTACTAACTTTTGTCGAAGAAATGCTAAGCACTACGATGAAGAACCGCAGTGTTTTATATCTTGAATAGTTTCCTTTATCAAATAACATTTATAATTATCTGCAACATTGAATACATTCATTAAGATGTAGTGCCTTATTGAACGTCTTCATATTTGTGTAGATATATTTATAAAAATTTTAATAACTTATTAAATTATCAATTTCTAATCAAATATCAAATTATCAATTTCTAATCAAATATCAAATTAATAAAAATATCAAATTAATACACTTTATTCATTTTAATTATAAAAGGACGTTTTTTTCTACGTTGAAAATTTTTTTTATAATCATAAATAATTAACCATATATTCACATGTTAGCAATGCTGGCAGATCGACAGGAAATTTGATGTTGCTGTCAATCTACCAACATTACTAACTAATAATGCACTACATCAAATTTGATCAAATTAGCTGTCAATCTGCCAATATTGTTAACATTTTGCTTACGGGATTATATTATAAACAATTCTAAAATTATTTAGCACATTTCTTTACAAATGAAAAAAGAAGGAACAAAAAATGTAAGCGTTACTATGATTAGATAAGTGTAATAATTGTTTATACGTTTGGATTTTAGCACTTCCTGTTTGTGTCGTCAGTTTTA